TCTTGCGGGATGAAATATTTAATTTCCTTTGTTCTCTAACCCACTCCAATAAAATCACCAGGGCCCCCTGTGCGTGTAATGAAGCAAACCCTTCCCTTATTACCCTTTCAGCAAACCTAACACTCCTGCTCATCCTAGTGTGACACATCCTGCCTGCCCTGCTGCATGATTCTGAGAAAAGGTGGAGAGGGTTGGACTAATTCCATTTACTCTAAACTCTGATCGATACTGGAGGAGAGGAGAGGAGTCTTGCTGTTTAAAAACTATGGTTTTGTAAAATCTGGTCAACTCCTTTCCAGATGTCAAACTTTTTAAGGGGTAAAATGCAAATTGCGCGTAAAAAAGAAAGTGGTGGATCAATCTCTTGTAAAATAGGGAAACCGATCCAACAAGAATTTGAAAAAAAATGAATCATTTTTCTTCTAGGAAAGAAAATGTATTTGGGTATATCCCAGTTTGTCTCGAGGTGCATGTTTTTGAGTCAGGACCTCAAAAGTCCTTCTAAATAAACACATGAATGAATATAAAGTTTCCAGAAAGACTTAAATCCAGCAACACTATCGTGACAAACATCCAACCCCGACTGGCCAGACAGGGAATGAGTCCAACTTGCTCCACATTTTGTTCTCTCGCTAATGATGCACCATAGCCAAGTGAGACAGAAAAACACCAAAAACGCCACTTCCCTTTTCTACAACAATCTGTCAGGATAACAACAGTTCGCATGCAGGGGGTGCAGGAATAATTTTTATAGTGGGGGTGCCGAGAGGATTGAACCAAACTGTAAACCCTGTCTATGATGGAAACCACTTCAAGCCAGGGGTGCAGCAGCACCCCTAGATCCAGCACCTATGTTCACCTGTGGTCCAGTCATTAACGCCTTGCTCAGGCAATCCTTGCATTGACGTCAATGGGAGTTTTTTTGCCTGAGCCGAGAGTCTAGCCTCCATCCCATGGAATCTCTGGGACAACACAGTTGAGGAATATACAGTAGAAAAACAGAATGTAACTATTCTTGAAAGTGAACTCATACAGTCAAGGAAAACAATAGAGATTCTTCAGTTTCCCAAACTCTTATTATGGGATAGGAGATTATTTTTAAATGCACTGCAACTCATTTATTTTGACAGTTGTTTTACTACTTACATAAATAGGCCAAATATGTTTTCTCATATTATTCTTCTTGACAGAAAGTGATTCACTTTCTTCTGTAGTCCTGTTTTAACTTCACGATCCCCTTTTCTGTTTTCCACTTTATCATTCCCCCCCCCCACTACTTCCACTTATTTGTTTCACCTGTATTGCCTTTATAGGCTTTTTTCCCCTTTTGGTTTTTTCCTATCTTCCTTTCTCTTCTTGTTAGTGCTGTATTTTTTTCATGTGATAGGATTTATTCCCTGCTCTACATTAATTTTCAGATCCTCAAAATATTTTAGGTTCCTGTGGAAAGCTAATTTCTATTAGCAATTCACTTTTAACGGAAATCTAGTTTTTCCTTTTGCAGCTACACAAAAACTAGTGATTAGGTTACATTCCCCACCCTTTTTTTTCTAATGTGGAGAAGTTCTAAAGGAAACAGGGTGGCAAAACTAAATATATGTCCACAGCCTACTAGAAGAGTTGCAATAAAAAAAAATATATATAAAAATCTAGCTACATCATCATCACTGTATTTCACTCAACCAACAAAGCATGGGGCCATTCAATGTTGCATCAACATCAGATTGCTATCTATATTGCCTTCAGATGATTTGTGATACAGATATTCATTTCTACCTCCTCATGCACCAATGACTAATAGAAGCTTTGTGGTGTGACCGGACTGAATGAATGTTGTTTACTCAATATGTCCTGAAATCTTGCTGGTTTATACTGATGCTTTGTAAATGCAAAACAGAATCAGGTCCAAAACTACAGTGCCAATAAACTTAATTAAATAACAGGGAGGGGAAAAAAAGCAGGGAGACATTCCAGATAGTCATGTCCCATTATCTCTCTACTCAGACTGCTTCAGGAAGAAAGTCAGCTGCATTTGACTGAAATGCGTTCTGTGCCTGTGGGAATTAACTGCCCTCCAAAACCCAAATTGCTGTATTGGTCTGTAATCTGACAGACGGAGAACTAGCAGATAAATCCACCATAACTGTAAGAGTCAATAACACTTCTTTTAATTCACTGCAGTATTGTACCTCCTGATTTAGACTCCACATGAGGTGTTCTTTCCTATTCTTTTGTCTGGAAGTGCTATATACTGCTGTATTGTAGTGACGCATTCACAAAGGTATAGTTATGTTGTGTCAGCACTTCCATTGTAAAACTCTATTTTCATATATTCTTCAGTTGGTAATTAGTAACATATTTGTAACTTGTCCATGAACATTTACTACAGGCTGAAACTTAGAATATAAGTTTCTAGTTTGATTCTGAAGTGCTTTATAACAGAGAAGTAAAGAGCGAGAGCATGTGTGTGTATATATAAAAATACGACAGTGCAAACACATACGCTTATGTTAATTTTTTTGAACATAGTTACATGCTACATGTAACTCAAACACCACTTTGAATTAGGTAAAATATAAATGTAACAAGCACATATTTAACAGTACAGTCAAATCTCCTGTATTTTTTAGGGTGTGTGTGGGGGGAAAACAAAAATCTTTAAATGGCCAAGATTCCAAACTTTACAATCTGGACTCTGCATAAACAGAATATCTAATCTTCAGATGCATCTTTGCAAAGATTCGTATGTATCTGAATGTACATTGGAGTGCAATGCATCTGAAGAAAACATCTTTATTAGGAGTGGATAAATTAAACCTGTGTTTAAAAAACATAAGTTTATACTCCCCCAACAACTTGACCGGCCACAGGGTAAATATTTCCTTTGCAATGTAACATACGTATATACGCAACCAATGCATTTCAATTGCTCTTAAATTTATCAGAACTGTTGTGGGCCTTAATGTTATTTAAATACAGGCATTTTTATGCATTTGATCATTTCCATCAGGGCTATGGCCAGTGACGCTTTTCAAAACCCAACTCCGCAGGTGCAATAATTGGTCAAGGAATTATGCAAAAATCATCAGTGGTGCAGTTTTTAATGACTGTTTTGAAAAGAAAACAAGTGAGCCGAATTTGATGCGGAGCATGGTTTGTTATTGTTAGGCATCAAAGCTGCACTGAGATGGCTGGGACTCCTCCAGCAGGGACACAAAAGCTTTGATGCAATAATTGGAGCTCACAGCGGTACAAGCACTGTAAGCAACTGGGGCAAAGTAACCCTTGCTTAGATCTCTCTTAGATCAATGGTTGGACTGCTTCCCTGAGATGGGCCCAGCTGAATCCCCTTGGAAAAGGAAGGCTAGGGAGAAAGACAGAGGGGTGAAAGGGAATGGGATCATTGCCTGGGTCCCTCTCTCTCATTATTATTAGCAATATTATGACTGTGTTTAAAAAGCTGAAGGGGCCCTGGCCATATCTGCGGTTACATATGGCAAAGGGAAAAGGCAGACAGATGGGGACAGGGGCCATCTGACTGGAAGCAGGGCTGGTCCATTTCCAATGTCACCACCACTGGGGCAGCAGGAGCAGGTGCAGCGAGGAGGGAGCGAAGATGGGCTCTTGGTACCCAAGGCTCCCTTACTTTCCCTGTCTCCATTCCTATATTCCCCGCTGCCCCTTTCCACCCTCCCTCTCTGCCTTGGCCTGGCTGCTGCATGCCATGGGCGCGCTGGGGTTGCCTCCGGAGCAGGGGAAGCAGTGTGAGCCCAGCCGCCTCCCCACTCCCTGGGCAAGGCGGCCTCTGGCTGAGCCCCTCCCGAGCCCCCTGCAGAAACAGCAGCTGCAAGATGCTCCCAGCACTGGCACAGCCACCCACCCTCAGCCCCTGGTCGCCACCTCCTTGCCCTGCTGGCCCCCACTCAGCCTTTGCCCAGTGGGCGCCGGGCACAGGGGGTGCCCGCCAGACACTGCCCGAGGCAATGGCAGTG